AAAAAAAAAAAAAAGGGGCGGGGGGTAACACACTCTTTTCCAGAAACATTTTTCAACAAATCCCAAAGATTTTGGTATTAAATTAAAAACAGAAAATGGCTGATCACAGCAATTAAGAGATACCTATAAATAAAACCAAATACAACACAAATATACTTTTAACCTAAGGAAGAGTTCCTATCAGTTAAGGCTGTACTCTAAAACTCTCACTAAGCACCTGCTCCATGCTTTCTAATTTTGTGGATTTTCGAGAAATACCAAGACAAATTAAAGCAAAAGTTGGGACACAGAGTTTGTGAAAGAACATTTGACCAGGAAGACAAAAAACACAAAGGCGGGATGGATTCAGACAGGGTGTGAGTTACCATTTTAGGAAGCAGCTACAGTTGAAACTCAAGACATGAGAAAATGGTGGTGACCAGGACAGTATCAACAGACCAGAGGGCACTTATTATTTCTGACATTGCATTTTCCTTATATCATTCAGTTTCATTTCTTAGGTCAACTGAAGGATACAGAAATCATATGTAGATAAGGAATCAAATGATATAATTTTCCACAGCTACAAGCTCCCTAAAAAGTTGAAATGGTCACATACTTAATAAAGCAATCCAATTCTGAACAGATGATGGCTTCACCTCACTGATTTTATGTTCATATCTTCTATCTACAGGGAGTTCACAAGTTATCACACACAGGTAGGTGAAAACTGGCTGGTGTGAGGTATACATGTCCATTTCCTAAAACTGTACAGTTCCTTGTCTTGGGTTTCACCTAAATTATTTCTGGCTCCCCATAAAAAAATGTACCAATGTATCTAGGAGAACAACTACGAATACTAATTACAAAATAACCACCTGTCAATATTCAAACCTGGGGAAAGGGCATAATAAAAAAATAATAAGATTGGGGAATCCAAGCATAAGCTTGCTTATCCTGTTAATTAAAGTTATATAACACTGAGTCCTCTACTTCCCTCCCCCCCAACACACACACCACCTTGCTTTCTTCACCTACAAAATGAAGGGGGAAAACTAAGTTATTTCTAAGACCAAGAGCAAAGAGGGAAGAAAAAACATAGGAAAAGTCCTCCATGTCTCAAGTTTCATCTTCAGGGAAATCATATTCAATAGCTACTAATGAATATGTAAAAGCTCTATAGTACTCAGGGTGCCCAAAAGATAAATGACAGAGATATAACCTTTGGTCAAAACCTTCCTTTGGAAGTGGAAGCAACACTGACATTCTCTCAGGAACAAACTGGAATTACATCTAAAATATAGAAAACCTATCCTGAATAATCAACTGCAACTGAAGACTACCTGGAGAGCATCCTCATAACCAAGGAGGAAAAATGGAGACCGCATAGAGGCTAGTAGGAAGTGCGGAGGCGTGAGAGTGCTGGCTGTACTCCCACAGGCAGCAGCTTAAGTGCTGGAGGGATATCTCAACTTTGGCAGGCGCCAACTGAGAGCTTTGGGGGTCTAAACCACAAGCTGGGCTCCCCAGTCCACAGCACCAGAACTGGGAAAGTGCTCACATAACATGCAGCTGTGAAAAGCAGCAGGGATTCTGTCTGCCAGGGAGAGATGGCTGGAAATGCAAGCACCCTCTTAAAGGGCCAACGCACAAAATTTTGTGTGCAGCCACTCACCTTGGGCTCTGGCAGAGGGAGGGCAGAGTGGACTAGAGCTGTGTGAGGAGAATCTAGGGTTGCAGGCTCTGGGGATAGAGCTCAGAGGGACTTCATCTGGATTCCTGTGTTGGGTCATTCCCCCATACTGCAAAGGAAATCTTTCTCAGGCAGAGTTTTATCATCCAAGCAGCTTTTGCCTGGAGGGGTAAGCAATTGCCCAACCTGCTGAAAACCTCTACTGCCTGAGGCTCATTAAGAGACAGAGAATAACAATCAGCCTACAGGCAGAGGTGGATCCCTGGGTGCTTTGAGTCTGCCTGATCTGCTTCTGGACCCAGGGCTTGGAAAAGCAAACCTTGTTGCACGTCTCAGTCCTTTCCAAGCACACTCAGCCCAGCAGAGGGAGCCACAAGCTGTGGATTGCTGATAGCTCCAAATAGGGTACTCAAGGCCAGTCACAAACAGTGTCTGACACTGGCCTGCACCAGAGACCATCCAAAAAGACTGGGAGTCCTAGGAGATCTACTTAATATATCCATATATGCATAACCCATGGACAGGGACAATAGTTTAGTGAAGACCTGGGGGGTAGGGGGGTGGAAGTGCAGGGTGGAAGGGATCAATGGGAGGGAAAAGGGGGATATCTTTTCCCCTTTTGTAATACTTTCAACAATAAAGATAAATTTAAAAATATATAAAGATTAAAACAAACACCTTCCTTTGGAATCACAGCACTTACTCAGCTTAAAATTATGGAGAACAGAATGGACTGACAAAGTTGGATAAGTCTCAAATAAAAAATGTCAACGTAGGGCTTTATAGTTTACAAAATGTACTTTATCTTATTTGATCATCAACACTCCATAAAGTAGAAAAGGCAAGTGATTACAATGTACTTTTCAAAATCACACACATACACATATATATATGAGGAAACAGGCCTGGCAAGCTTATTTAACTCAAGATCAAACTAAGTGGCAGTGCTGAGACCAGAATACCAATCTCTCAACTCAAATTCTATGTTCTTTCCATTGGAGAATGCTACTGTCTGGTACACAGAAAAATTACAACGGGGCAAAGGCCACAATAATAGGGCCATACACTTAAGTTTATGAAATCTTATATATTGCTATTATATGTACTCTCTGACCCTGAAGGTGCTACCATTATTCCCATATTATAAAAGAGAGAATTGAGAGTCTATATTCTGGTGCCTAGTTACCGGAAATTGGTAAATAATAGGGTGTGTGCATGTGTACTGGGGAGAGGAAGAGGAGGGAGTAGTCAATCTTGTCCAGAAGTCTGAAAGGTAAAAATACTGGTCATCATAGATCATTTATTCACAGACCTTGATATCTGGGAGCACAGTCATTCCCCAGTTCAAATAACCTGGGGACCACTGGCCCATAATGAATAGCTGAGAAATTCTAAAAGCTTTCTAATCTAAGCCTTCTTTAATCATAATCTTACACCAGATTCTTTTAGGAACACATACAACTCTTATATGTGAAGTGATTCAGTATCTTTGAAGGGACATCTAATCATTTCAAGAGATTATTGAAAAATGTAGGCATAGGGATATTAAAATATTTTGTATTTATTACACACACAATACAGGGTGGGGCAAAAGTAGGTTTAAAGTTGTGTGTACATGACACAGAACTTATTATTGCATTATTATTTATTAATCATTGTATTATTTTCCATATGATCAACAGTGAATCTACTTTTGCCTGACCCTCTATACCAAACAACACACCAAAAACAAAAGCAAGTCATTTACTGGAAAACACTGGAGTTGTTAGTTTTATGCCAACTTACCACTGAAATGCATTGTAATGGAAGTAGACCAAACCAAGACCATATAAAAAGGCAGCATTCTGTAAAGAAGGGAAAAGAGACTTTTTAGGAAAAGCACTTAAGTTTAATGCTTATGACATTATTAATATAAAATATGGTATCCAAGATGTTTTAAGTTATTAAATCTCTATCCTGCATTACAGTATACTTGAGAAATATTTTTAAAACACCGAAATAACAGTGATGAGTCAGCAAATGACAGAGAATCCAATCAACTTGAAGAGATTCTCTGGTTTCTTTTTAATCAAACCTGCCCTGAAATAAAAAATCTGTCAGCAGAATCCTATGGGCAAATCTACAATAAAAACCTATTATTCAGGAATACAAAAATGCTTGGACTATGCTATCCTATTATCTCCTGCTTGTATCTATCTATGTTTTTTCTCTAGGTCTTTCTGTTTCTTGAACTGGATTTAATTTTATGTTCAGTGATACCAGGAAGACAGTTAAAATTCAAAGTAAATGTACAATATAAACTTAGAACAAATTTTAGTATTAAAAATAAATCACATGCTAAAATGACACCTAGCCATTTACATTTTGGGTTTTAAACATCAGTGATGCCTATTTTCAGTATAAAACAGAGAGACACTTATCCAGACTCATTTTGACCTCTGGCCTCCAAACAGGAACTGGCTACCTATTCCCTTTTTTCAAAAAAGGCAAATGTTTGAGTACCTACCTTGTGTTTGTTTTATCAATAAAAAATTTAGAAAAATTAAAAAAGGCAAGTCTATTTTAGTAAATCTTCCCTATTTAAATAAATAAATAAATAAGCTTTCATACTGATCTTTGTGAACAAATTTCTTGAAAACCTATATTCTAAAACTTGAAAACTTTGAACTCTTAATAAAATGTGTCATACTGTCTTGGGTTGCATTTCTCCAGAAGGCACCCAGAGACAAAAGATTTTAGTGCAAGTAATTTATTTGGAAAGTAACCCTCAGAAGCACCAGTAAAAAAGTGGAGAACTGAGGTAGAGAAGGGGAGAAAACCAACAAAGGGTGCAGTATGGCTGGTTATGAAACTATGAGCAACTGTGATTTGATCCTGCTGGGTATCTCTAGCAGTGTGGAACATTCCTCAGAGTAATCTTGTCCTAGGTGTGAGGGATCTAGAGTACTTACCCCACAACTGCTGTCAGTTATTGCTTAGAGAAAAAGAACCAGTGAGATCTAAAACCCAAAGTGTTGGGTGAGTTTGGGGGGTATACAACTATGTTTTTAACACTAAATTTAGTTCTGGGATTATATTGTGAATTTCCTTTGAATTCTGAGTATCCTTTTGGAAACACTGAAAAATGTTTCTTAAGTATATCTTAAAATCTACTACATATGAAAATTTAATTTCATTAAATTCTCATTACCCCCAACTTCCCAAATGAGAAAATTAGATGCAACAGTACTTACGAACGCTGCAATTCACAAAGTATCAGACAACATATATTTCAAAAGTTCGTATTTTTTAAAAAATTTTCATTTAGTTAGAAATGGTTTTAATCAGGATCATTCATTTACCACCCCATTCCCTGAAATAAGCTGAGCAATTACTAGGTGTCAGAGAAAATACTAAAATGCTGAACAGGCCAACCTGATTAAAACATACTTCTCTTGCTCTCATGTATACAAACTAGTGTATGTAGAAGGTGGGGGTGTAGAGAACAGGGAAATTCAGAATGCAGGAACAGTTAGCTCATGAAGTAGGTTAAGTTATTAAGTATTCTACCCTGTCTCCTTAGGTGGAGGTGATAGAGGGCAAGGGAGCATATGAATAAAAACAAATAACATCTTTCACCAATTTTTTTAAAAAATGTTTTTATTGATTTCAGAGAGAGGAAGGGAGAGGGAGATGGAGAAAGAAACATCAATGATAAGAGAGACGAAATTAAAGATGGAGGCAGACTAAGTGTAAGCTACACGGACAATCTACCGGGACCAAACTAGAATTACACCTAAAATATAGAAGAGCCATCCTGAATAATCAACTGCAACTGAAGACTACCTGGAGAGCATCCTCATAACCAAGGAGGAAAAGTGGAGACTGCACAGAGGCTGGTAGGAAGTGCGGAGGCACGAGGGGGCTGGCTGGGCTCCCACAGGCACCAGCTGAAGGACTGGAGGGATATCTCAGCTGTGGGGGTTCCCAGTGAGGACTCTGGAGCATAAACCCCAGGCTGGGATCCCCAGCCAAGAGCACCAGAACTGAGAAAGGTACCCACATAACATATGGCTGTGAAAAGCAGCCAGGTTTCTGTCTGCCAGGGAGAGACCGCTGGAAATGCACGCACCCTCTTAAAGAGCCAACACACAAAGTTTTGTGTGCAGCTACTCACCTTGGGCTCCAGCAGAGGGAGGGCAGAGTGGACTAGAGCTGTGTGAGGAGAATCTAGGACTGTGTGTTCTGGAGAGAGAGATCCGAAGGCACCCATCTAGATTCCTGTGCCAACTCATTCCCCCATACTGCAAAGGACATCTTTTTCAGGCAAATATTTACCTTCCAAGCAGCTTTTGCCTGAGGTGGAAGTAACTGCCCCATCCAGCTGGAAAACCTCTCGCTCTACCCAGAGGAGTTTCTACAGCCTGAAGCTCATTAAGAGAATCAGATTAATCAGCCTGCAAGCAGAGGCAAACTTCAGAGTGCTTTGAGTCTATACCTGACCTGCTTCTGGACCCAGGTCTTGGAAAAGTAGGCTTTGGTCGGCATCTTGGTTGTACCCAAACACACTCAGCCCCAACAGAGGGGACCTCAAGCCGTGGGTTGTTGATAGCTTCAAACAGGGTACTCAGGGCCAGTCACAAACTGCATCTGACACTGGCCTGCACAGGAGACCATCCAAAAAGACTCAGAGTCCTAGCAGATCTACCTAATACATAGAAACAAACCCAAATAGGAAGCCAAAATGGGCACACAAAAAAACAAGCCCCAAATGAAAGAATAAGAGAAGTCTCCAGAAAAAGAGCTCAATAAAATGGAGATAAGCAATCTATCAGATATAGAGATCAGAATACTGATTGTAAGGATGCTCAACAGCATACAGAAACTATGAAGGAAATTAAGAATAACATAGTGGAAACAAACAAACAAAAAAACATTGCAAGGAATAAACAGGAGATGAGGGGAAACTGAGGATAAGATAGTGAATTAGAAGATGGGGTATAAAAAATCTCAATCAGAGATCCAAAAGGAAAAAAAAATTAAAAACCAGGAGGGCAGTCTTAAGGGAGCTGTGGGACAACATGAAACATAACAATATTCAAGTCATTGGAATGCCAGAGGAAGTCAAAAGTAAGCAAGGGTTAGAGAATCTGTCTGAAGAAATAATGGCAGAAAACTTCCCTAACCTGGTCAAGGAAAAAGTCACACAAGTTCAGGAGGCACAGAGAGTCCCAAGCAAGAAGAACCCAAACAGGCCCATACCCAGGCACATCATAATTAAAATGCCAAAAATTCAAGACAGACAGAAGCTTAAATGCAGGAAGAGAAAAGCAATCTGCTACCTACAAGGAGCTCCCATAAGGTTGTCAGCTGACTTCTCATCAGAAATTCTACAGGCCAGAAAGGAATGGCAAACAGGAAGCCAAAATGGGCACACAAAAAGGTAATGTAAACTAAGGTAATGTAAACTAAGGATCTGAAACCAAGGCTACTCTATCCAGCAAGGCTATCATTCAAAATAGATGGTGAAATAAAGAGCTTCCCAGACACACAAAAAAAGGCTAAAGAAGTTTATCACCACCAAACCAGCATTGCAGAAAATGTTAAAGGGACTGCTGTAATAATAATAAGAAATAGAGTGAGAAACATAGCCATAAAGAATTAAAATAGGCCTGGACGGGCGTGGCTCCGAGGTTGAGCGTTGGCCTAGGGTCCAGGAGATTGCGGTTCGATGCGCAGTCAGGGCACATGCCTGGGTTGCGGGCTTGATCCCCAGTTGGGGGCGTGCAGAAGGCAGCCAACCAATGACTCTCTCATCATTGATGTTTCTCTCTCTCTCTTTCCCTCTCCCTTCCTCTCTCTGAAATCAATAAAGATATATTTTTAAAAAATTAAAATGGTAATAAATAAGGACCTATCAGCAATAACCTTAAGGACTTTAAGGGAGAGATCAACAGCAAAACAGTCACAGTGGTAGACTTTAACACCCCACTGACTTCACTGGATAGATCTTCCAGACAAAAAGTCAACACTATCTAACCCTACAACTTAATTAGAAAGCTCCACTGTGACGCGTTCTAGACCAGGGCTTTTGTTTGCTGGGAGTTTTTTTATTACTGCTTCAATTTCATCAGTTGTTATTGGCCTATTCAGGTTTTCTGCTTCTTCCTGATTCAGTTTTACACGATCTCACTCATATATGTAATTTAATAAACAAAACAGACTAACAAAATAGATCCAGAGACATAGAAGCATGGAAGAGACTGATGAATCTCAGGTGGAGAGATTAATCAAAGAACTTATATGCATAACCCATGGACATGGACAATAGTGTGGTGAAGGGGGAGAGGGGGTGCAGATGCAGGGTGGAGGGGATCAATAAAAAATTTAAAAAAGGAAGGATATCTGTAATACTTTCAACAATAAAGTTAAATTTTAAAACTTGAAATAAAATCAAAAGTGATGAGAGAGAATCATGAATCAGCTGCCTCCTGCACGTCCCCTACTGGCAATGGAGCCCACAACCCAGGAATGTGCCCCGAATGGGAAATAACTGGAATCGAAGCGTAACCTCCAGGTTCATGGGTTGAAGCTCAACCATTGATTCACACTGGCCTGGCCATCTTCAGCAATTTAGGTAATTATCTAGAGAAGGTGGTGTGGGGTACAGTGGAAATATGAGTTTATTGAGGGGCATTTCTGCTTTCAGGACACACTCTGCATTCTCCCAACTTCCTTACTTTGTTGATAGTTCATTCTTTCCCCCTCATGAACATCTTATCTGCATCCCTGCCACTGCATATATTCTATCAATTATTCAAGATCCATTTTAAACGCCATCTTTCCCATGAAGCTATGCTGCTTC